TGAAATTGTCAAAATTGCCAATTTCACACAAATTTCTGGCCACTTTATTGGATACTTGAAATCGGTAAACGGGTGGTTTCTTGTACTCATTCGATAGGAAAAATGCAGTTCTAGCGAAATAGCGAAACTGATATGATTTTTGTCGACTAGTACACTGAAATTGGCCAAAATCAGGGCTCAAAGTGGGCGAAACCGCCGATGAGTCAACATCGTCGAGACTGCTAACTTCGCGAGAGCATAATTCCGTAAGTTTTCCATCAAATTTCATACTTTTGGTGTCATTATGATCGGGAAAAGATTCTCTATCATTTCATAAAAATATACTTTTTTTTCCAAAAAAATTTCGACCCTGAGAACGAGCTTAGGAGAGGGTCTCTTGACCCTGAAAGGGTTAAAATGTACTTTTCCTTAACCTATATGAATATAGAGTAAGAATTAGTATTAGTCTGCCAGAAATGCCTAGGCACGCTAGTGGCCTTCTTTGTAATTAATATCTTATAACATGTAAACCACACATTGTAAGCTTTACAAGAAAATGAACATTTTGATTTTGAACATCCCATATCATAAAAATCTTTGAAAATGTTCTAAGAAGCAAGATCGCTAACCACCTAGGTACCCATCAGTTACACGACCCAGGGCAACATGGGTTTAGAGGAAGTTTCTCCTGCCTGTCCCAGCTACTGGACCACTATGACAAGATCCTGAATGCTATAGAGGATAAACAAAATGCAGGTGTGGTACACAGACTTTACGAAAGCCTTCGACAAGTGTGACCACTGTGTAATAGCGCACAAAATGTTGGATAAAGAAATAACAGGAAAAGTCGGTAGACACATAGATCTATAACATCCTAATGAAACACAAAGAATAATAGTAAACAGAGTAAAGTCTGAGGCAGCTAATGTGAAAAGTTCTGTTCCACATGGCACAGTAATCGTTCCCATCCTATTCCTCATCTTCATATCTGACATAGAGACGTAATCCATAGCTCCGTGTCTTACTTTGTGGATGACACCCAAATTGCCATGACAGTGTCCGCCATCGAAGACACCGAAAGACTCCAAGGGAACATCAACCAAAATCTTCAAATGGGCCACTCAAAACAATATGAGTTCAATGAAGAGAAATTTCAACTACTCAGATATGGAAAACTTGAGGAAATTAAAACTGTATCAGAGTATATCACAAATTCTAACCATACAATAGAGCGAAAAAGTAATGTGAAGGACCTGAGAATGATAATGTTAGAGGATCTCACCTTCAAAGACCACAATAATGTATCTACCGCATCTCCTAGAAAAATGATAGGGTGGATAATGAGAACCTTCAAAACTAGAGATGCCAAGCCCATGATGATTCTCTTCAAATTGTTTGTTCTCTCTAGGCTGGATGGCTGCTGTACGGTAACTGTCCTCTTCAAGGCAGGCGAAATTGCTGACCTGGAGAGTGTACAAAGAACTTTCACGGCACACATAAGTACGATAAAGCACCTAAATTATTAGGAACAGTTGAAGTCTTTTCATTTGTATTCCCTGGAACACAGGCAAGATAGATGCATGATAATATACACTTGGAAAATCCTAGAGGGATTAGTACCAAACTTGCACACGAAAATCACTCCCAATGAAAGCAAAGGACTCGGCAGGCGATGCAACATTTCCCCAATGAAAAGAAGGGGCGCCACAAGTACACTGAGAGACAACACAACAAGTGTCAGGGGCCAAAGACTGTTCAACTGCCTCCCAGCATAAATAAGGGGGAGATTACCAATAGACCCCTGGCTGTCTTCAAGAAGGCACTGGATAGGTACCTGAAGTCAGTACCTGTCCAGCTGGGCTGTGGTTCATATGTCAATTTGCGTGCGGCCAGCAGTAACAGCCTGGTTCATCCGATCCTGGTCCACCACGAGGGCTGGTCTCAGACCGGGCCATGAGGGCGTTGACCCCCGAAATCCTCTCCAGGTATACTCCAGGTAAGGACGCTTCTCTGTGGTACGCCAGTGGCCAGAGGCCTTGTTGAGGAGGTTGTGTCCATAACAGAGACACATTGCTGTCTATTAGTAAGGTAATACTTAATATATGGCAGTGCATAGCCTCTTATACCGTAATGATCAAGTTTGTGAAGTAGAATGCTGTGGTCTACTGTATCAAAAGTTTTTCTTAGGTTGATAAAGAGTCCTAGTGGACATTCATTATTTTCGAGTGCTGTATAAAGCAGGTCTAGCATTTTTATTTTCTCTTTTTTTAAGTCTTTTTTTCTATTTTATTTCCCATTTTATTAGGTCTTTATTTTCTCTTTTATTTTCTTTTGTAAGGTCTTTATTTTCTCTATTATTTGGTCTTTATTTTCCCTTTTATTATCTCTTTATTTTGTTTTATTTTCTCTTTTATTAGGTGTGGAAAAATTTTAATTTTCCTAAATTCAACATGTGTAAATTTGAATAATATGATAATTGTGTATTAAAATGTGATGCTGATTTGACACTTCAAGAAATTTTGAGTGAAGGGGGGGGGGGGGTGGAACAGCCGGAGGAGGAGGAGAGGAAGACGTCATAGTGAAAATACACCTGAGCACTGGTCTGTAAGTGGTGTAAAGCAATCCGGCATCATCGATGCCATAATAGGGTGTTTTGGCCCGAATTTGTAATAGGAACTTGTGTTAATGTCCCCTGCTGAAGAATTGGGACAGGAAATTTGCGGGACCTCCAGAATTACGTGTGGATGGTGGAAAAACAGGAGACTACGCCATCATTCACACAGGGAAGTACGCCGTTGTCCTTTCATTTAGATTTTTTGCTGGCCAGTGTAGATTTCTATATGTTAGGTAGGCGTTGTGGCACGATCCAACTACAGTAATTAAATGATAAGTGGTAATACCAGGAGAGCATATCGAGGGTCTATGCCCCCACGGCCCAGTCTGTGACTAGGCCTCATGGTGGATCAGGGCCTGATCAACTAAGCTGTTACTGTTGGCTGCACGCAACCCGACGTATGAATCACAGCTCGGCTGGTCAGGTACTGATTTTAGGTGCCTGTCCAGCGCCTTCTTGAAGACAGCCAGGGGTCTATTGGTAATCCCCCTTATGTATGCTGGGAGGCAGTTGAACAGTCTTGGGCCCCTGACACTTACTGTGTTGTCTCTTATCGTGTTAGTGGCGCCCCTGCTTTTCACTGGGGGGATGTTGCATCGTCTGCCGAGTCTTGCTTTCATAGGAGTATACCTGGAGAGAGTTCCCTGGGGTCAACGCCCCCGCGGCCCAGTCTGTGACCAGGCCTCATGGTGGATCAGGGCCTGATCAACCAGGCTGTTACTGCTGGCCGTACACAATCCAATGTACGAGCCACAGCCCGGTTGATCAGGTACTGACTTTAGGTGCTTGTCCAGTGCCTGCTTGAAGACAACCAGGGGCCTATTGGTAATCCCCCATATGTATGCTGGGAGGCAGTTGAACAGTCTTGGGCCCCTGACATTTATTGTGTTGTCTCTTATCGTGTTAATGGCGCCCCTGCTTTTCATTGGGGAAATGTTGCATCGTCTGCCGAGTCTTTTGCTTTTGTAGGGAGTGATTTTCGTGTGCAAGTTTGGTACTAATCCCTCTAGGATTTTCCAAGTGTATATAATCATGCATCTCTCCCGCCTGCGTTCTGTGGAGTACAGGTTGAGGAACTTCAAGCATTCCCAGTAACTGAGGTGTTTTATCCCAGTTATGCGTGCCGTGAAGGTTCTCTGTACATTTTCTAGGTCAGCAATTTCACGTGCCTGTAAGGTGCTGTTAGTGTGCAGCCATATTCCAGCCTGGATAGAGCAAGCAACCTGAAGAGTGTCATCATGGGCTTGGCATCCCTAGTTTTGAAGGTTCTCGTTATCCATTCAATCATTTTTCTAGCAGATGTAGGAGATACATTGTTGTGGTATTTGAAAGTGAGGTCCTCTGACATTATCACTCGCAGGTCATTCACAGTTTTCGCTCTATTGTGTGGTTGGAATTTGTTTTATACTCCAATATAGTTTTAATTTCCTCAAGGTTCCCATATTGGAGTAATTGAAATTTCTCTTCATTGAACTTCATATTTTTTTTCTGCAGCCCATTTGAAGATTTGGTTGATGTCCGCTTGGAGTGTTGCAGCGTCTTTGATGGGGGACATCGTTATGCAAACTCGGGTGTCATCCGCAAAGCAAGACACGGTGCTGTGGCTTCTCTGTCAGATATGAGGATGAGGAACAGGATGGGAGCGAGTACTGTGCCTTGTGAAACAGCTTTTCACTGTAGCCGCCTTAGACCTTACTCAGTTTACTGTTACTCTTTGTGTTCTATTCGTTAAGAAGCTATAGATCCATTTACCAACCTTTCCCGTTATTCCTTTATCACACATTTTGTACGCTATTACACCATGGTCACACTTGTCGAAAGATTTCGCCGTCTGTGTATACTACATCTGCATTTTGTTTGTCCTCTAGAGCATCCAAACCTTGTCATAGTGATCCAGTAGTTGGGAGAGGCAGGAGAGGCCTGCTATAAACCCATTTTGCCCTGGGTTAACTCATGGGTATCTAGATGGGTGGCGATCTTGCTTCTTAGAATCCTTTCAAAGATTTTTATGTGCGGGTTATTTGTGTATTGTGTATTGTTCCAGTACAATATGGGGATACCTTCCTTGACCTCAGCAGCAAACCGAAATGAGTCTAGCTAATTTAATAGCTCTATTATGCATCACTGACCCATCCTTTGAACCGTATTCGAAAGATTACAAAGGCACAACCTCTTAGTATTCTTGTTATACGAATATATATGTAAATGATTTGCTAGATTGGATGGAATTCTATTCGTCTCCGCCTGCTGATGATATGACAGAAGGCGGCAAGCAACACGTGTGACAAGGTGCGGGTCGGCGTTGGTGTTTGGGTGGGGGTGTTGGAAACGGAGGGGAGTGGGTGTGCGCGAGTGTGAGAGGCGGTGGTGGATGGCTTGCAGCCAGAGTCACAGTGCCAGTAGTGGCCTCGCTTGGAGGCTGACGAGTGTCGTTTTACACCTCTCAAACCTTGCCACTAGTGACCAACTGAAGTACCTCCAACCTACGCATTTCTCAAACTTCAATGTGCAGTCTCATACTTGTTTGAACGATCAGATAACTAACATGCCAAAAAACAAACCATGATATCTTACTCAAAATTATTCAAAGTAGTTGACTAATAAAAAGTTAAATTGAGGCGAGTTCCGGGCAGACCGTCAAGGCAGGTAAGTTGAATGATGCCTCACACTCCCCCCACCCCCCAAAAAAAAATATGTATATATATATAAAATTATTAAAGTGAATGTGCTGGGAAAGTATACTAGTATGATATTAACACACATGCCACTTCTGCCAGGACCTGCGACCCCATAGGAGGGTAAAGTAGATGATAACGATGATAATAATAATAATTTACTATCATTATTATTATTGGAAAGATCTAAAACCGCAGTGGCCATACAGCGTCTGGGGAATGGGAAGTAATCAGCTTTCAGTTAAGGGAAAATGTAGCTCCAGTTTCCTGAATCGAGAGCCCTTCACCAGCTTCAAGGCCCCTCTTTTCCTGACTGGCACCAAGGTCCAAATATGGTCAGTAAAGCTAGCAGAATAAAGACAAGACGAGCTCTCAAGGAATCTCTCATTATTCTAAAGACTTCTTGCAAAATTCAAGGAGTTTCAAAGTTAAATGACCCATACGGATTTACTGCTTTTGCGGATATAAGAAGACTGTAATATTCAAGTTAAAGCATTTGCCAGGCAGGCTTATATATATATATATATATATATATATATATATATATATATATATATATATATATATATATATATATATATATATATATATATATATATATATATATATATAATATAGAGAGAGAGAGAGAGAGAGAGAGAGAGAGAGAGAGAGAGAGAGAGAGAGAGAGAGAAGAGAGAGAGAGAGAGAGAGAGAGAGAGAGAGAGAGAGAGAGAGAGAGAGAGAGAGAGAGAGAGAAGAGAGAGAGAGAGAGCAAGGAATCGCCTTAATACAACTGACTGCAATTACGCAAAACTATTAGAGTGAAAAAAAAAATGCAAATGCCTGAGAACTTTCGTAGGATCACTTTTCTTCGGTACTCACTCACCTACATGTGGTTGCAGAGGTCTGGTCTTAGCCCCTGGCAACGGTGTATATGTGTGTATGTGTACAGTGCAGCAAGACAGGATGCAACAACATAAAGAGGTTCCCTGTATATGATAATGATCGTGAGACTTATTTGAAGACGAGATTTGGCGTGGTATAATATCTGTATCTCAACACCTCAAGAAGAAGCGACTGGAAACCTGCTGTCTATCTTCTAGGAAATATAGTGGGCTGGTAGACAGTAATTCTCCTAAGAGGCACCACTATTTTGAGGCAGTAGGTTGGTAGACAACAACTATCCTGAGAGGCACCATTATTTGGAGACAGTTGGCTGGTAGACAACAACTATCCTGAGAGGCACCACTTTTTTCAGGAAATAGGTTGGTAGACAACAACTATCCTGAGAGGCACCACTATTTTGAGGTTGTAGGTTGGTAGAAAACAGCTCTTGAGAGGTACCACTATTTTGAGGCAGTAGGTTGGTAGACAACAACTATCCTGAGAGGCACCACTATTTTCAGGCAGTAGGTTGGTAGACAACAACTCTCCTGATAGGCACCACTATTTTGAGGTAGCAGGTTGGTAGACAACAACTATCCTGAGAGGCACCACTGTTTTAGGCAGTAGGTTGTTAGACAACAACTATCCTGAGGGGCACTGTTTTCAGGCGGTAGGTTGGTAGGCAACAACTATCCTGAGAGGTACCACTGTTTTCAGGCAGTAGGCTGGTAGACAACAACCATACTGAGAGGCACCACTGTTTTCAGACAGTAGGCTGGTAGACAACAACTATCGTGAGATGCACCACTATTTTGAGGCAGTAGGTTGGTAGACAACAACTATCCTGAGAGGCACCACTGCTTTCAGGCAGTAGGTTGGTAGACAACAACTATCCTGAGAGGCACCACTGTTTTCAGGCAGTAGGCTGGTAGACAACAACTATCCTGAGAGGCACCACTGTTTTCAGGCAGTAGGCTGGAAGACAACAACTATCCTGAGAGGCACCACTATTTTCAGGCAGTAGGTTGGTAGACAACAACTCTCCTGATAGGCACCACTATTTTGAGGTAGCAGGTTGGTAGACAACAACTATCCTGAGAGGCACCACTGTTTTAGGCAGTAGGTTGTTAGACAACAACTATCCTGAGGGGCACTGTTTTCAGGCGGTAGGTTGGTAGGCAACAACTATCCTGAGAGGTACCACTGTTTTCAGGCAGTAGGCTGGTAGACAACAACCATACTGAGAGGCACCACTGTTTTCAGACAGTAGGCTGGTAGACAACAACTATCGTGAGATGCACCACTATTTTGAGGCAGTAGGTTGGTAGACAACAACTATCCTGAGAGGCACCACTGCTTTCAGGCAGTAGGTTGGTAGACAACAACTATCCTGAGAGGCACCACTGTTTTCAGGCAGTAGGCTGGTAGACAACAACTATCCTGAGAGGCACCACTGTTTTCAGGCAGTAGGCTGGAAGACAACAACTATCCTGAGAGGCACCACTGTTTTCAGGCAGTAGGTTGGTAGACAACAACTATCCTGAGAGGCACCACTGTTTTCAGGCAGTAGGCTGGTAGACAACAACTATCCTGAGAGGCACCACTGTTTTCAGGCAGTACGCTGGTAGACAACAACTATCGTGAGAGGCACCACTGTTTTCAGGCAGTAGGCTGGTAGACAACAACTATCCTGAGAGGCACCACTGTTTTCAGGCAGTAGGCTGGTAGACAACAACTATAATGAGAGGCACAACTGTTTTCAGGCAGTAGGCTGGCAGACAACAACTATCCTGAGAGGCACCACTGTTTTCAGGCAATAGGTTGGTAGACAACAACTATCCTGAGAGGCACCACTGTTTTCAGGCAGTAGGTTGGTAGACAACAACTATCCTGAGAGGCACCACTGTTTTCAGGCAGTAGGCTGGTAGACAACAACTATCCTGAGAGGCACCACTGTTTTCAGGCAGTAGGTTGGTAGACAACAACTATCCTGAGAGGCACCACTGTTTTCAGGCAGTAGGTTGGTAGACAACAACTATCCTGAGAGGCACCACTGTTTTCAGGCAGTAGACTGGTAGACAACAACTATCCTGAGAGGCACCACTGTTTTCAGGCAGTAGGCTGGTAGACAACAACTATCCTGAGAGGCACCACTGTTTTCAGGCAGTAGGTTGGTAGACAACAACTATCCTGAGAGGCACCGCTGTTTTCAGGCAGTAGGCTGGTAGCCAACAACTATCCTGAGAGGCACCACTGTCCTGTCGCATGCCACTGAGACAGAACACCAACTACTATTTTTTTTTTATAAGGCACGTACAACACCTCAATCTCCATTGTACAAGTGTCTTATTCGTGATCTTTTATATACTATATATCATTAATGTAAATAATATTTCGTTGGAGTGTATAGTGAGTTAATACACAAATAGCCGGCCATAGGAGAGAGAAGCTTACGACGACGTTTCGGTCCGACTTGGACCGACTTGTTGCAGTCCTGGTGTTATGCCTTTTTGTTATGTATAGTGTTCATGACGATGGCCCATTATGGTGATTCATTAGGATGGTCCATTAAGGTGGTTCATTAACGCTCTTTAATTTCCCTCGAGGGAGTTGTCTTGGCGCTGGTGACGGGATCTTGATCCAGTGAATTGGATGTGTGCTCCTTTTTCCATAAACTTAATGTTTTCTTCAATTCTTCTAGGTTCTGTATGACCCCTACGAGTTTAGCTCTCCTCCATGAATGTAATATTAATAATAATATTAACATGGTTTATTAAAGACTTTAAAAATGTTGTATTATGATGGTCTATTAAGACGGTACATTATGGTGATCCATTAAGTGGATCAATTAAGCGAGTCCATTAATAGGTTGTCCAGTAAGGTGGTCCAGCGAGATGGTCCAAATTACTACCCTTTATAGCTTAATTGTGGCCTCATTTAGTTTATTCTAACATTCACATCGTCTCATTACTTTCTCTTTCTCTTCCATTAAATAAATATCGAAACTCTCCCTCCTTTCTAACCTTCCAGCTAATCTTAATTAACTTTTTTTTCTTTTTCGACCGTGATTCCATTCAGTACAGCCAAACTTTTTTTTTTCTCCCCCACCAAGTCAAAGCCTCATTAAGGACGAAAAGGTCTCCACGCCATCAGTACCATTTGCAACTCGTGAAGAAATCCGTCTGTCGAAGAGTGTCGATATTTTTCCGATTCAAACTTTGCGAAAGTTTGGCCAAATGTGCAACAATTTGTGGACGATATTTTGAGGCGTTCGCAGATCGGTGAAATAATTTGCATTCTTCCATCATTTTCAGATTATATTGGGAAACTCTAGGTAAAATTATATTCATTGATTTGTTTACTAGCCGTGTTAATAATAATAATAATAATAATAATAATAATAATAATAATAATAATAATAATAATAATAATAATAATAATAATAATAATAATAATAATATAGTTAATAATAATAATAGTTAATAATATAGTTAATAATAATAATAGTTAATAATAGTAACAAACAATAATAATAATAATAATAATAATAATAGTTAATACTACTACTACTACTACTACTACTACTACTACTACTACTACTACTACTACTAATAATAATAATAATAATAATAATAATAATAATAATAATAATAATAATAATAACTGCTCTACAGCCAAAATATTTTAAACGGAATTGAAACTAAACATTTTTCACTAATTTTAGGTCACTGAATGCGGAAATGATGCTTAAAATTGCAAATTGGCTCTATTTATCAAGATACAGACTCAGGCCGGTTGCTGTTATCTTTCACTTGGGAAGGGAAGAGGGTAAATAAACTACGAGGGGAGATGGCTCTTGATTTAAACCATCAGTGCGTAATTGTTTGAAGATACATACAATTTCCTTTGTTTCTCATCAGCAGTTCTTTT